CATTGTGATTTTATTTGTTGTTATCGAAAAAGTAAAATTCAAGGTGTTTTATGTTTTTTATTGTCACTATGACATCAAGCTTACTCGATAGGTGCAATTATTCGCATTTCTAAAAAATTATACTTGAAATCTGTTGACAATGTCAAGGACAATATTGTATACTTATTGCCTAATAATTGTGCGAATAAAATACTGGCAAGTTGCCCTAAAATATGATGCTTAATTTAGAAAAGTCAAGTGAAGAGGTTGAAAACTGCATAAATTTAATCAACTGAAGCTGTGTACAAAATACTGGGACGTTTTCCTTGATAATCTATACATATAAGATCAACTCCCATTGAACTTTCCAGTCGGTATTAATTTCATACAAATTTAATCCGAAAGGATTCCCGTTTTCCCCGGAAATTGCATTGAAGGGCTCTTTAATTCTTTGCCAGATCAATGAAAAACAGGTGATCATCACGAGCCTGTACTAATTTATGTAGTTTGTTCAATCTAATGGAGTTTAATTAAGATTCCTGTTTGAATTTGCAGGCTAGAAGGCAAGGTGGCTATAATAACTGGTGGCGCCGGTGGCATAGGGAAAAGCGTGGCCAAGCTTTTCGTCCAACATGGAGCTAAGGTCATTATTGCTGATGTCCAAGATGAACTAGGCCAGGCAGTGTGTGGATACGTAGGCTCTCCAGAAGTCATTTCCTACATCCATTGTGATGTAACTAGTGACACCGATGTCCAAAATGTCGTAGACATGGCTGTTTCCAAGTATGGTAGACTCGACATAATGTTTGGAAATGCTGGTATCCCTAGTAAGACTGATCTGTCAATTTTGGCAACCGAGTACCAAGACTTTAAGAGGGTCTTCGATGTTAATGTTTTTGGCTTATTTCTATGCGCTAAACACGCTGCAAGGGTAATGATTCCAGCCAAGAAAGGGAGCATCGTGTTTACTGCAAGTGCGGCTTCTGTGACTAGTGGGAATGCTCCTCATGCTTATGTAGTATCAAAGCATGCAGTGGTAGGGTTTACGAAGAATCTGTGCGTCGAATTGGGGCAGCACGGAATTAGAGTGAATTGCATTTCTCCTTTTGCTGTGGCCACTCCGCCAGTAATGGAAGGGTTTCAAATCACGGAAAAGCAAAAGCTGGAGGAATTTGTGTCTCAGATAGCAAACTTGAAGGGGGTATTCTTAGAGGCAAATGATGTGGCTGAGGCTGCAGTGTTTTTGGGAAGTGATGAATCAAAATATGTTAGTGGGCAGAATCTAGTTATTGATGGGGGTTACAGCCTTGCTAATATTGCTCTGAGTGAAGGCCTGAAGAAGCAACATTCTTGAATCAGTTATGTCATTATTTTGTCTACAAAAACATGTGGTGCATCTTTGTAATCAGAACAATAAAATGAATAAGATTTGTCTTTAGTGTAGAGCTGTCCTATCTTTTCTAACAAACATGTTATTGTTAACATACAGTTTTCCAATTTCTAGTATCTTCTTGTGTAAAGACTATCCCCAGATAATATTATATATTGGCTAATAATTTGAGATTAAACTAGAGTCCTACTTTCATTTAGTTAATTAGGCGTTCCATCCGTTGTGTTGAACTAATAATGATGCTTATAATTGTATAAAAAAAATTTAATATATCAAGACTCGTCAAAAGAGCATATTAAGGGGGAGATCTTAGGTTCAAACCATTGGGGTCGCAAAAGAATTATATGTTCTCACCGATTTGTTGGCATTTGGAAGTTTTATCCCTTCTTGTCATCTTTGTCATTGAATAGTTCCAATATATTCATTGATTTATTCTACACAAAATGACATATCGAAACTCTATTGTCAGGGCCTTTATCAGGTTAGTAGTTGACATTAAATATAAAATGAAACGGAACAAAACTACACGACAACTTAGATAATTTATTAACTAGCTAATCTACATCTTCTGAGTAGTAGCTTTTTTAAGTTGGCTCTTGGCTAGTTGATTACACCGACTTGTGGGGAGGATTCCGATCTCCGCAGTTTTTTCCTTTCCCTTGTCGACCTTTGTAAACTTGGACAAGTATATCTTTTTTAGGACTCGTTTGATCTCCTTCTTCAGCTACAGAAAATCTTGTGTCTTAGCCATGAGCTTTGTGAGATAACAATACTTTTCTCGGTCTCATTTACGTCATTCAAGTTCCAACCTATCCCTTATTTGCATTAGGAGGTTTGTCATTTAACTGTTCAGAGGGGTATAGTATGGTCGTTGTCCTGTTTGATCAACTGATGTATTCCTATCATGCCTTTTTGTGTTTTCACCCCTATCATCTTTCCCCCTGGGCTAATCATGAGATTCTCTCTTGTGGGTTCTAGCTCTCTTGGGGTCGATCCTGTGATTTTCGGGGTCCAAGGAGAACTCCATAAATTGGGTCCCCCAAAATCAACGTAAATTCAAAATCCAACAATGTAACTTAAAACTTAACAGTAGAACAACAAACAAATATAAAGAATAAAAGATTTATATTATAAAGAAACAAAACCGACAAGAGTTCAAACA